AAATTACATATTTGTCCCAAATCGTTGTTAATGTACATAATGACTACACCCTAGGGCCTAGGCTGTAAAATTGTGTATTCTCCATTTTTCAGTGAAATGTTTGTCTTTCTGTGGCTCTAATAAAGTCTGTATGCTGTATTTTTTGTTTCTGTTTTTTTTTTAACACCGAACTTCAAACTCATCTATGCCGCTTTCCGATCATTTTTGAAGTGAACTTTTGCCCGGCTGGTGATTAAATAAACTGTTAAGCCGCTGCTTGAACTGAACGCGACGCGTCCTGTGTGTGATCCCCGATACCTGCGAGTTCTAGACGCGGCGCTGCACTTTTTGCCCAGTGTGCGACTGCCCTATTTTGCCATTTTGATTAGATAATCATCACGTGTTCTAGAATAGAAGCAATTAAAGTGTGAGAGTATATATACAATATCCATATGTATGTAATTTCAATGCTATGGCCTTTGTGTAGATATTTAAAGCTGGCCATCTAGTTAGTGTGTGTTAATTTCAACATCTACTAATACATTTTTACATTTAGAAGTTTAATGATCAATATATAATTAATATTTTTATTCATGTACAAAGTATGGTTCAGTACTTTTTTTTATATAAATGCACTATTTATTTTTCATTAAGTATCCATTTTAATAAACTATCGGTTGATTAATTGGTATATATATATATATATATAGATATAGATATATATATAGATATTTTTTTTAAGGTCTGACAATGATGCATAAAAAAAAACATGGTATTTGGGTGAAATTTTATGTCATTAATTAGAAGCTTGCCAATATGGACCAGTTGACATGTCCTTAACCTCAAAAATCATGACCAAAACAACAAAACAAAATATGACCTGAAATGTGGATAAGCATGGGTTTGTAGCGCCCATGTGTTTCATGTGATTAATTATTGGCACAAATAAAAGCACCGTCAAAATCAAAAGGCAAAAATAAATAAATAAAATAATAATAATCACACTTCTACTGTTTGTGCATTAACAAAAACGTCACATGGCACATGTTAATATAATAACTTTTTTTTACAAGGTGTAAATGTGTGCAGTACGTTAAAATTAATAAATTGATTTAATTGGTTTTAAGAACCCTTTTGTTAACCTTTGCTGTACAAACAATTCTAGTGCTCTGTTGGGTTACAACTTGGTGTTAAATTTAAAATATTGGTCTCCAAAGGGATAGTTCACTCACAAATTTAAATTCTGTCATTATTTATTCACCTTCAAATCATTCCAAACATTTCTGTGGAGCACATAAAAAAATATAGGCCTAGGCTTATATATTTTCAAGATGTCTCACTGTTTTTGCGCATACAATTAAAGGTATGGATAAAGTACTGTTTTCCAACATTTTTCAAATGTCTTCTTTTGTATTCTACAGAAGAAAGTAAGTCATGAAGTTATGGAATGACATGGGGGTTAGTAAATGATGACAGAACTTAATTTATGGGTGAATTATTGCTTTAAGCAACATCACATGACAACCACTGACTTGGCTAAATGTCATACTTCATCAATGACCACGACATTACAATAACCTGCCAAACACACTTGCATCAACACTGAGACTTAAGTGACTGTTCGGTTTTTCCCCAGAAGCAGGGGAATTCACAGCGAATTAAATCTCACTCAGAGCTTCCTGTATGCACAATAATGGTGCACACATACCACTACTGCATAACGACTACTATCAAGAATATAAGACGAGACAACGAATGCCTTAATGCATGACCTTTTACAGATATTGCACATGTCATCTCTTGCCATCCTAAAAAGGCCAACACAGTTTTGAAAAACATAACTCTTCATCCTATCAATGCATTGTTTGCCATGCTGGTAAATATTAGGGATCTGGGCAGACACGCCAAGGGGTTTTAAGTCAAGCCAAACCTACTTGATTTTAGGCCGAAAGGTTCAAGGAAGTCAATAATACCTGGACAAAGCAATCTGTTAGCATTCCCATTGTTCGGCTGTTATTTTAAAGTCAATAATCTGAGCTGTGAAGCGCATGACATTGTAAAATAGTGAACCACAGCTCTGAAAAATACTAAATCACTGAGGGCCTCCAGCTTTGAGCAACAATGTTTATGTTGACTGTCTTTCCTTCCACATCATCCATCCTTTAATATTCAACAGACAGTGATCTGAGAAGTTGATGCCTTGTCAACATAGAGAACATGCAGAGCTGCGAACACCTGTAATATGCTGTAATATACCTGTAATACATTAGCAATATGAACAGGTTTTTAAAAGTGCAATCACTGCATTAATTATGTAATACACCAATGTAAACATCACATCAGCGTTATGCAAATTCTCTACACAGTGACTGCTGGGTGAAAACGATACAGCAGAGATGGACAGGCCTTACACTAAATAACAATGATCAGGTACAGGACGCAAATTAACAGCTTCTCTTTTAGCTGTTATTCCTAGTCCTAGAGCTCGGTTTAGATATAATGTCATCGCTGGATAACGCTGTGTTGCCATGTATAATCAGTGGATCCTGCTACAGTAACAGATCTAAAGCTGATCATGTATCAGAATCAGACTCTAGAGGTAAACAGGTGACATCAGCACGAGCTGATCAGACTCCTCTTACCTGACGTTTAAATATACCGGTTTTCACCCGTCCGTCTTCGATGGCATTTGGAAAAAAATTATTCCAGTGAAGCTCTCGTGGCGCTGCTAGTGATGGTGTTTATGTGACATTGTCGAATGGGCTTAGCTGAAGCCAGCGCTGGCTACACTCCGCATTACTACCGGTTAATGGAGGGACAGCCGCCTCCTCCGTGCACTTTAATACCGCTGGGGAAAATCTAGGCGAGACGTTGAGGAAAACACGAAAAAATCCGGGAATATCGGTAGAGCCGAGGCCGCTGTTTCATTTGAAATCAGTGTGACTATTATTTACTGTGTGTGATTGTGTATCGGACGGCTCAACCAGACATGCTACAGTAGTGGAGAGAAACTTGCTCTCCTATTGGCCAGTGAGTGACAGCTATATCTCTGATTGGTCATTTCGGATGTCTTTTATTTCGCCCCGCCTCTTGGGGTTTTCCAGTAGTTTGGCTGAGGAGTTTAAGGAACTGGCAATGTGTCAGGTTGTACATTACAGTTTATTTCCTTTCAGTTCTTCCAAGCATTTAGGCAGAGGCGGACAGTAACTAAGTACATTTACTTGAGTATTGTACTTAAGTACACTTTTTGAGTATCTGTACTTTACTTGAGTATTATTTTTTTCTGGAAACTTATGACTTTAACTTCACTACATTTGAAAGACAAATATTGTACTTTTCACTCCACTACATTTCTATCAAGGTCCTCGAAGTAGAAAGTCGTTACTATGTAGCAGCTTTGAAAGTCAGTGGGTGATTTTTTTCTTCTCTAAAACATGACTTTTTTTTCAGTAATCAGTAATCACTCTTGAAGGGCTACATGAAGTGATTTCCCATCATTTTTTGAACACTGACCAGTTGCAAATGTGATATTTATTTACAATTCAATAACAAGAAGTTAATATTGTGGTATATATTAGACACAATATTGTCTGATTTTGCTAAATTGTGTAAGTGAAAATATTACCTATAAAGCCACAGAAGAACTGTTGTGCGTCTCCTAATAAAACACAATCATCTCCTAATAAAACACAATAGGTGTTGGACTTGAAGCAGCACTGCACAGACTGTTCTGTGTGTGACATCAAAGTACTGCAAGCGCGATTAGACAGCATTTTTAAAATGTTTGTTTTGATGGTAAATAAGTCTGTTGCTGTTTTGCTTTTATGTTGTAAAGTTATACAGCTACAGTTGTGTTGCTGGGTTTTAAAGCAGGTTTGATTTTTTTTCTTACTTATCATTTCACTGTCCACTCTGTTCAAATGTGGATGAATGGCTACACATAGATGTGTGCACACACTGTCAGAGCTGTGAGATCACTACCATCCTGCTTTTGTGGGGGTGGGTAGGGGTGTTAATGTTTTCCCCCCATAAGTTTTTAACATTCTAAAAGCTCTTTATTCCAAAGATACTACAAGCTAGTCAGTGTATTCAGTATTGTAAGTTATTTCATAGGTATTGCAAGTATTACATACAACAATAATAAAACAGTGCATTGACATAAAAAAGGAAATTTACTTTTGGTACTTAAGTACTTTTAAAACTTCTGTACTTTTACTTAAGTAAAAATCTGTCTTTACAAATTTCACTTGTAATGGAGTAATATTTGACCTGCAGTACCTGTACTTTCACTCAAGTAATAGAGTTGTGTACTTTGTCCGCCTCTGCATTTAGGTCGTTATTACTTATTTATTACTGCAAATATGGATGCATATTAAAATTATTTTATTATTATTATTAATTTTGTACTTTTTTACATTTATCCTAGATGGAAGCTCCTGTATCAGTAAACAAATGTTTAATGAATTTTGTGTGAAGACAAATAAACAAATAAATCCATGGTTATTATGCAACTTAATATAAGTCATAGAAGGTGTAATTAAAACAAAAGGATTCAAAACCATCATAACAAACTCTGACATTCTGTGATGCAAGTAACGAACCTTAAATAGATTATGAATATACAATACAAAAAAAAAGAAATTAAATGAAATACTATCTATGTATAATAAATGTAACCTGGGAATCAGTGCAAGGGACAGCGCCATACAAATCCTGTGTGTTACCAGTCCCTCCTTTAGAAGTTCAGATTGTGTACTGGCTTGACAGTTTGAATGTTCCTTATTAATATTGTGAGGTTTTTGTCTACAAAGAAACTTTTACAGATTCAAGACACAATGGTAACAGGGGATCTCAGTCATTGTCCAGCCCTATCTGACATTCTGATTAGTACCGTGGATACTTCGCTTTTAAGCTATACCTCAACACCATATAAGCATTTTACAAGAGAGGCACTTTTGACTAGCTAAGCCATGGCTTCCTACTTGTGCATATGTGTGTGCCTCAGTTAGGTAAATGAAAAAAAGGAAAATGATGGGCATTAGATTTGGCAGTTTGGTGGCAGGCTTTACAGAGCTGTCTTGCCCTCAGAAGGTCAATCTGCTTTCTTGCTTGCTCAGTTCCTCCTCTTCCTCTGGGCTCAGATTATTTCCTCTTAGCCTTTAAGAGCAAAAAAAGAGCAAAAAGCCTCTGTATTAACACAAACCATTCACCGGGCATGGGTATTAATGTAATAAAGCGAATTGAATGGTATAAGTTGTCACAATGGAACCTGCAGTTAAACACCCGACTATAATCCTTTCAGCAAAATTTAAACAGTTAAACGACCATGAATAATTCATTAAACAGTAAAAAAAAAATAAAAATACAAAAATGTCTAACTATTGTTTTGGCCAGAAATATTGTAATGAATAAATAATATGCAAATGTATAAATTTCACATGTTACAACTTGAGTACACAATTTAACTTGTCTGTTAACACTTCTGTTGAGTTTTGACGGAATGTATGCTATTGTGGTTTTATTGTCTTCACCTGTTTATACATTGATGAGAAAAAAATATATAATATTGGGAATTTAGTTTGGCAGACTTTATATATAACTTAAGAGGGTTTGAACTAGGTAGTTAAAACCAACATACAATACAACTGTTAGAGAAAACACACATTGGTCTGATTGGACCTTTGACTCAAGTGAAATGAATGAACATTTATTGAGTAAAAACAAGCACACACAGTCAGCTAAAATAATTAAATATGACCTTACCAGACTTCCTTAACACTAGAGTTCATTTTAAGTGCCTCTATTAGACACTCAACCCCCTCTCTGCTGATAGAGTTTTTATTTAGCCTAAGTGAAAGAGAGAGAGAGGGCATGTAAATCTCAGGCATACAGACATGTAAATTTCATAAAGAAATAAATGAATAAATAAATAACAAACAAAGTGGATTAAATAAGTCACTCACCACAATTCCTCCAGAGTTTTGCTCTGACTGATAAGTTTCGCCAGAGCACATGCACCTGCACTGCCCACACCATTATCCACCAGACTGAAACAAACCAACATTATCACTACCCACAAAAAATAACACATGCTGTGTGCATACCATTGCTTGGTGCTCTGCAAATTTAGTTTCATTTGACTGGGCAATTTCACTATTTAGCATACACTTTTTTTTTTCATATATATACATGGAATGCAGAATTATTGTAATATAGGATTAAGAGATAGGACTAAGACAAGATTACCTTAGCCATATTAGCGTTGTGCTATTTTTCAGTGCATCTGCCAATGCCTCAGCTCCCCTGTCCCCAATTTTATTACCCCAAAATCTGGAAATAAAAAGTCAGAATGGAAATACAATTATTACAATTGCGCAGTATTGGAACATACAAAAACGAATTACTCTCATTATTGACCTCACCCTAAAAACTGCAAAGACTGGTTGTAGCTTAGGCCTTCTGCCAGCTGCTCTACTCCCTGCGATGTGATGTTATTATTTCCAAGTCTACAAAACAATTATATATTTTGTATGAGAAACATGGTTCAAGATGTGCAGTACAACCTGAAAAAAATGTTAAATGTTAAAATAATCAGCATCCCACTGGCCAGAAAAAGCACATAATAACCTGACCTGAAATAAGCACTGACCTCAAAGACAGGAAGTTCTGCTTTGATTTTAACAGCCAAGCAAAGTGTTGGGTGCAAGCATCTGTAAGGTTGTTGTTGAAAAGCCTGCAGAAATATTGAGGTAGTAATGAAGCTTGGTTATGCTAAGTAATATAATAAAATATAAGTTATGCATAAAATGCAGAGTTAAGATGTTCAATATTCTCACGCTATTTTTTGGAATCTTTCACACGTCATTCCCTTTTCCAGAAGTTTCCGGATTCCTTCATCTGATATGTTATTGTTCCTTAAACTGCAGGATTCAGAAATTCTAATAAATCCATTTGCAAAACAGTTTTCAGAAAGAAAATGAATTTTTCATTTTCCATATATGAAAAATCTGTCACCATGTACTTTTCCCCACATCACTCCAAACCTGTATTACCTTCTTTATTCTGTAAGATATTTTGAAAAATGTTGGGGTCCAAATGACATTGTACTTAATTGACTTGCATTATATGGACAAAAAAAAGAGGCATTTTCAAAATGTCTTCTTTCATGTTTCACAGAGTAAAGAAATGCATTCAGGTTGAGTAATTGAAAGAACAAGTAGATGATGAAATTTAAATTTTTGGATGAACTATTCCTTTAAGCAACAATTATAACAAAACCTCAATCATTTAACCTCTCATCTTACTAAAGGGAGTGACAAATATGTAGACATGGAAGAAGCTGCTCCACGCCCACATCTCCAACTGAATTGTTGTCCAACTGGAGCCCAACAGGATTCCGCAGGTACTTCAGCACATACGCCAGCGCAGTACATTCCACTGGTCCAATGTTACAGTAGGTGAGCTTCAGGTGCTCAACGTCCAACTTAGCCATGGTATCTTGAGCAATACTGCTGTCTTGCATTTCATAGATACACTTAATTAGCCAAACAAAACTTGGCATGGCATGCATGCTCTTTTTTTCACCCTCTACAGGCCGAGGAATGGACTTGAAATGTCTCTGCATACCTTTAGACAAAGACTTAACTACCTGCTTGGCCTTGCGTTCCCGCACAGCAGTAGGACAGCAATCCAGCAAGAGATTATGGTGCCGCTGGGATAAAAGTCCTGACACAAACTGAGCTGTAATCTGGAGGTTCAGTGTCTCTGTCACACGGGACTCCACCCCCTCTACCGAACTGTCAATGCAGTGTCCCAGACATCTTTGAGACAGGCCCGACAACTGCTTGTACTGGGGCTGAAAGAGTCTGTAGATAACAGATCGATTTTTTTTACTATTCAGAACGACATAGAGAGCAGCGAAGAAGCATTGTAAGGTGATGTGCAGAAATTCATAGCGTTTACAGTCTGTAACAGATAGGTCATTGCAGTAAATGAGGAAGCCCATGCTAACATCCTGTTCTGTGAGCCCAATTCTTTGCAGCTCATATCCTGAGAACACATAACAAGAGGCTCCCAGACCTTCCAATGCCAGCTGTCCAAGTTTTAACACTGTGTCCAAATGTTCCTCCAACCAGGCCTTTCCCAGGACTCCTTGGGGCTGAGATGACTTTCGCTGAAAGAAATACTGTAAGACCAGGAGGTAGACATCAGTGATAGTCTGGGGAATACCATCTTGACCACCCAGAAGCTCCTGGTGGCACTTGGTCACAATCCAGCAGAAGACTGGGATGTGGCAAAGACTTAGCAAAACCGTGTTAGCCTGGAGGGACTCTAAGACACGTCTAGCCATAGCAGGGTCACTGTGATGTTTCTTAACAAAGCAATCAATACCTCCAGGAGAAAAACCCTTCAGGAGCACTTCTTTGCGGAGATAGTGCTTCAGGGATGGGCCCACAGCCTGTGGCCTGCTAGTGACCACCTTCATAACGCCCTTCATTAGCGTACCCTGCAACAGATTGAAAAGCAAAACAGGTATAGGCACTTGCTTTGTGGGGCAGCAGTGGCGCTCTTCATCTGTGAAACCCTGTTTAAACTCATCGAGCCCATCAAAAGTAAAGAGGACCAAATTAGGATGGTCTAGGATGAACTGGAAAACCTCATCCTGACCTCGATCAGGCCAGCAGCAGTGCAGGAAGAGGAGCTCTTTCAGAGACAGCTCTCTGTGCTCTGCGTTCAGCTTGCGGCAACTGAAGGGGAACAGCAGGAAAGTGTTTGTGAGCAAAGCTTCTCTTGCCCAGAGCAAGTGCAGTCGCTGAAGCAGTGTGCTTTTGCCACTTCCTGCCTCCCCAGACACAAGAAAGGTGTCAGCATCTTCATTAAGAGTCCCAACGGGACCCACCACATCCTCCAGCCCTAGCATAGTAGTTTCACCAGAGCCATCTATTACTTCAAGAAGTCCATCGGTGTAAATGTCATCCAAGGAGAAATGTCCTGTCCCGCCATATGTGCTAAGGGAATGGGACTGGGCAGCAACAGAGCTTTGCAGCTTCTTCTGGTAACGCATACAATCTGGAGAAACAATGTAAAGTAAAAGACAAACTGTATTGACAAATGTATAGGTTGTATTCAGTACATTTAAAGTTATGTTTTTGAGCTTGTAACTATGATAAAGAAAATAATGGAAGGTAAAAACGATTTTAAAATTGCATTTGTTAAATTATTTACATATTTATATTTAATATAGTGACAATGTAATTATAAGTGCCAACATAATTATACCCATCTTGACAGACAGTAACACCGAAGACAAAGACATGCAAAGATACCCTGTCCACACAACTGAAAAATGTCTCATACTGGCAGAAAGATGATTTTCTTTATCTTCAGGGTTTGGTCTGGTTGTCTCTGTTTGCTCTAGATACTGTAGTAAGGTCTTTGCAGCTGTTTCCCCTTTAAACCTGACTTGGTCTAACAGCCTCCGAACCTGCCACAATCCAACAAGATCACTGTCTATCCACAAGTAATTGACATTTACTGTTAACAAGCTTGAAATATTTACATGCCAAACTGAATTGCACTTATCAAGTACTATAGGAAAATAGTTAAATTTTCAGAGTATGTATGATATATATATCACAGTGTGACAAATTTCAATTGGCAATTGTCTGAAAATTGTTCAGTAATTCAACAGTCAGTACCAAGGAGTAGTCATGAGGAAAATTACATGACAGTTAGTCATGAAGTACACTAAATGTCAGGGATTTCATAACACAAATAAACTAATTAATGGATTAAAGTAGTGTTCGGATAAGTTACCTGCTGTGAGGGTGTGTATACAGGTAGTTGCACCACATCACAATCTTTAATGGTGAAGCAGCCAGTTGTTAGTAAAACATTCAATGCTCCGTCAATATTATCTCTGAGCTTTCTCACTAACACTGGCCTGTCAGCCAGTAACGTTAAAGTTGCAGTGTCTGGTCTGTTCTTGCCCACCTCAGCACATTCTTTCCCAAAACACAGCCCAGCCTTCTGCTCTTCAGGTAAGACCTGGTTCATCGCAGCCAAGAGAAGGCTGCATGCATCTTCTCCTTTATCATATACCACATCTAAAAGTTGCCTGACTTTGTAACTTAGAGCTTTCTCTGCCACTTGTATGCTTAGGTAATCCTCCCAGATAAGAACCTCCCAAGCCAGGAGCAGGTCCAGAACACAATCCAGAGGTTCGGCACTTCCTCCACCACACAGGACTGCCAGAAGCTCTTTACGCTGTTTTAGGATCAACTGGTGAGTGCTCATAGTGGTACTCCGCCTTGTCTCAAAACCAACAGTCACAATCAGAACCCAACTATAGGGATGAGACAGAGAAGACCAACAACATCACAACGTCTCACTAATGAACCATTTGTACATTTATATTGTTGCATTTATTAGATATCAAAGAGATGTCATACATTTTATTATAGGCTAATACTCTGAACAGCTAGAGTAAATTTAGGCACTAATTTCCTCATTTTTTCCAAAAGCGGTCTGTGTTCCCTTTGTTTATTTTTCCTAAACTTACGTCTAGATTAGGACGTGTTGATTGTACTTTTAGTTAAGTAAGTAACATTATAAAAATGGCTTTGAATAAATATACTCCGAAGACATTAGGAAACAATGACGTTAAATTAAATAAAGAAATAAAAACACTTACCAGACAAGGTACGAAATATCTCCTGAACGTCATTGTTCCCCCACTATAAAGGTAAAGTAAATGTCTCATTCATGATCATACCTGTACGCGTAGGCTATCATTTAAGAACAAAAGCGTCTGTGTCATTTGAAATTTTCGAAATTATATCGCAAACGAAAAACGATTACAAACGTCTATTTACTAGATATTCCGTAACTATGATATGAAAACGCCACGAACACATGCTTATCTGTCCTTACAGTCCGTTTAGCCACTTTATGGTAATGATCGTCCGAACTGAAAGTGAAAGAGGCGCTGATGTCCGAATCTTCAGGAAGTCCTTATTGTCGAGTCGGTTTACTCATAAAAAGAAGTCTTACCCTAAAACGGTTGCAGAGAAGACCGAGGGTGTTGTGACACTTTGTTTACACGTCAGTAAGTGATTGTTGTTTTGCACAATGTGTCAAAAACTTTGATTTAATACTCACATAACTATCTGCTTCAGTTTTAAAAAGTTTTGAATTATAGGCTTCTCATCGCTGATACTGCGTAAAGTTAGTGTCAAATACAAAGACTGCTGTTACTAATTGCTTTTTTGTCCCGTAAACCCTAATTTTACTCAATATAAAGCTATAAAACTTCTGCTGTCACATCAGGAGGGTGGTGCTCATGTGGTCCAACGCTCCTCGGGTCATGTAGGCAAAGTTTGGGGCGTGACAACCGCGTTTAAACGCGGAAGGTTAAACGAGTCACTCCCTAGATGACAGACAAAATAATAAACGTAGCGCTGTTTTGGCGTCTTACGGCTTTGAAAAGTAAACATGGACGCCACTTTCACAGTTGTAAAGAAGGATGCAGAACCACACTTCAAACACAAGAGGGAAGTCTAGCATCATATGTTAGGGAAGATGGGGGATGCCCCCTTAAAGGGATAGTTCACCCAAAAATGAAAATTATGTCATCATTTACTCACCCTCATGTCGTTCCAAACCTGTATGAGTTGCTTTCTTATGTTGAACACAAAAGAAGATATTTTGAAGATTGCTGGTAATCAAACAGTTGGTGGTTGCCATTGACTTCCATAGTAGGAAAAAAAAATACTATGGAAGTCAATGGCAACCACCATATGAGATATCTTCTTTTGTGTTCAACATAAGAAAGCAACTCATACAGGTTTGGAACGACATGAGGGTGAGTACATGATGACAGAATTTTCATTTTTGGGTGAACTATTCCTTTAAGAACAATATGCATTTACCTACTTTTAAATTGCAACATATTTAGAAATAAGTTTAGAATTTGCAGGTTGATGCTGAACCAGCCAATGTGATTTTAAAATGGAAATAAATAGAAACATAGCACAAAATGAATGAATGAATGATTGAATTAATGAATGAATGGGCGGGGGGTCTCTCCTCTCTCCTCAAAATGTAAAATTATTCAAAGAGGCTATCTTACCCCAACTTACTGGGGAAAGATGCCCTACCTGGGGCAAGTTTACCCTGGGTACACGTTTACAGAATGTATAAATGACTTTTAATATAATTCGTATTAAAGAAAAATACAAAATCAGCTAGTCTATTTAAATTGAGTTTTGACAGTTTAGTTGAACAATTGAATATCCAATGACAGACAAGGCTGAATCCCAGTAAAACAGATTTATTTGAAAGGTAAATTATTCTATGACTTGTGTACAGATATATGAATATGTAAATATTTAAATTCCCGTATTTTAATAGAAGATATGTCATAATAGCAACTTTAGGAATTCAAATTGAATGATTTCACTTAATTAATCTATAGGTTTTAATGGATAGAGATTATGTCTGGAATGTAACTCTTGTAATTATTGTATAATAACCCCATGAATTACAATAAGTATTGAATTAAATTAATTACAATTTTAAATAAAAAATGTAAGTATTAAATTAACTCATGAGAAAAAATGCAGTGAGCTTTAATAAATATTTTATATTTATAGTCCATAGTTGTATGTTAATAGTCTTGTGTTCAGCCTGTATTTTTATTTATTTATTTATTTATTTTAATTATTTTAGTTTTTTTTTTATACTACTATCTGTGCACATTTTCTATAATTTCTCAACAGTGTTTAAGAAACATTTTCAGACAATTTAAAATTAAAAGCAAATTATTTAAATAATTTTTGATTGCTTAGTGGCCCTTAACTGCTTATAAACCACTCAAGGAAATTATTCTGTTCTGTAGGCCTATAGAACAGACTCATACCACAAGTAAATACTGAGCAGTTTATTGCGTTTATTTATTTTAGTCTGCAATTCTAAATTGTCAGTTCTGGAGTATTAATTGCTCAAGTAAAGCAATATATTATGATATCTTCTGATGATGAGAACCAGCAGTCAGCTGAGAAATATATGACATTTATGGCGGTCTGGGCAGTGGAAGGTGCTGTGAGGGTTTGGTGTTGATCCTGTTTGGGGGCTGTCTGGCTTTGATGAGACCAGAGCTGATCAGCATGATGTCTCCATCCCTCTGTAGCTCTGTCATCCACAGTGTAAAAGACAGAGCCTTTTTGGCAAAAGGCCATGGAATGGAGACCATAATAAACAATTCTGCACAACAGTAATGGCCATTTTCTTCTACTGAGGAGAGACAACCAAATTAGCTAACGGACTCACTCTCTTTAGTATCTCTCAATGAACTTGTCTATCATGCTGAATGTGGTGCATTTCTGGCATTGCATTGGATACAGAAGGACAGTCATGCAGTGGCCAGCTGACATGTGCTGACAGTGACAACACAATTAGCCAGTGACTCAGCTGAGGAACAGAGCAGTAGTGTGCAGGGCCAGGCAGACATTGTAAACAGATTACCTTCAGTGTGCTACAGCTTTCTTACTCTAGTTTTTTTTTTATCTCAGATTTTTTAGAAGTTGCACTGTTACACACGCAAAACTCTCATCAAAAAAAAAAAAAAAAAAGCTTCAGAGCTAGGAAAAATATTAAGGATTTTAGCCAAGAAAATGAAATTAGATGCCCTGGTCAAACCAGGCTTATTGGCATAATACTCAAACAGTTGTAAGCAATGCAAAAACGTTCTTTATACCTAAAGTGTGTGTGTATGTGTGCCAGAGATATGTGGCTTCTCCAGTCTGTCTTTGTCTTTGATCTACATAATAAAAGCATGAGAAATAGAGTTGTTTTGTTCCTTTATTGCCTGTTGTTTTGTCATGATTGCTTTATCTCATATTTCCTCATGTGCCATTATTAGTTTGTCATCTCTCTTATTGGTGTAGAATATACAGCTCTGACGAGTCCGAGAATGACAGATGTAATAACAAACAGTGAGGTGTGGGTTGTCATGTTGATTTTCCACAAAGACTGTTGGGGTACAGAGAGCAGAGTTCTGACAGAAATGCTAATATCCTAATCAGAGAAGTACCGTGAATTAAACTCCCTTAGCATAAATGTTTTTGTCATTTCTTGTCATTGTAAATATTGGAGGACATGAAGAGATGCAGGATTTTCACTGTCCCCTCAGCATGACGGGGTGACCATGTGATAGGCTAACATTTGTGGACGATACATGTGGTTCATACCACATGTACCCGAGAGAACGTGAAATGAATAGGCTATCCACTTTTCACAAGTCTAAAATAGCCCACATACTTTCTATATAAATAATCTTTAAAGTTAGAGCCTGGTCTGCACTCAAAGTGTTGGACTGTGTTTACATTATTAAAGAAGAGGTCTGCTTTCATCAAATGAAAACTATGTAACAGACATAAATTTGTATTTCTGCCCAGCACACCTTCATGACAACACAATTTATATAGCATCTAGTTCTATAAAAACCATCAATTAAGATAGATAGTCTCATTTGAACAAGTTTGTTCTTCCGTTTGATCAGACTTCAGTTGCGTTCAGCCTAACAACACTTCATCACGCATGCGTTGCAGGACATTGTCAGTTCGCGCTCTTTTTCTGAAATAGCACATCAAAGAAATAGGTGTTTGAGAGTCTGATGTAAAACTCTGCCAGCACAGCGGTGGACAATGGCTTCAAACAGACCGGGGAGGCAAGCTGGTAAGCGATGTCCTAATTGAGTCGAGTCTTGGTGAAATTGGAAGCCAATTAGTGCGGAGTTTAGAGAGACATGCTCTGTCAAAAAGAAAGAGATCAAATGTCTTTCAGAGAGAGAATGGAACAGAAGAAGTGCCAGCGCGTGTTGCATCGCATCTGCGAACGCAGTCGCAGGCACGCGCCTTTATTTGTGTGTTTGTGCGGTTGCTTTTGTATTGAGTTTTAATTGACGAGAAGATTAAAGCTCACTTCTCGGCAGTTTTCAGCGGACGGCTAAAAAGAGAGCGAGGGAGTGAGCGATAGTTAGAGGAGGAGTGCGGGGCGTTGTGTGCGTCGTTGAAGGTTAGCTCTGGCTCCCGCTGCGTGAGCACTGCCTGAGATGGGCTACTTGTTGGACATTCATTATCAAACCCTGTTTGGTCCTTTCATCTGCTACTCTGCAGAGCCCTCCTCGCAAACTACAGAGGCACCTTGCAGCTTGACATCTTTCCATTCACTCTGTACCTTAAACAGCATGCTGCCACATCAAAGCAGACACAAGCCCTTTGATGTTTCAAAAATAAAGAGCCCCAATGATCTACTCAAAACCAATGGAACTTTTTGGTGCCTCGCTCTCCCATATGCACTCTCTCTCTCTCTCTCTTCCTCGTTTTGTTGGCATCTGATAGACTTCATCACAGCTTGTGGAAGATAACCAGGGCTAACAACGTCCCGTTTACACATTTGAAAAAAATTGAACAGTGTGTATGCATGGAATTAACATATCAAGGACTATATGTAATGTCATATGCAGATAAGAAGAATAATTGGAATGTAATTCAATTAGACTCACACTGTGAAAATGTCATGCTCCTATCCTTAGTGGAGAACATCTACAGCATCCTGCCTATGAATGAATTATTAACTAACATTAACACAGATTAATAAATTAGGGTGACCATACGTGCCATTTTCCCCGGACGCGTCCTGGCCAGGATTTCTATATTGCCTAAAATATCTAAGCGCGGTAAAGTTAGTTTTAGGTTTGATATTCGCCAGACATTCGCCTAGGCTGCTTTAGGGACCGTCTGCAAATTTACCTCTCAGTACAAAAAGAAGTCCAGTAATTAATACAATTTATGTTTACAACGCCATAGTAAATGTCTTGTGGGCAAACTGACCGAACATATTTAACCAATATGTCGCCATAGACAATATCTCCCTTACTGTATGTACAAAGTACACAACTTTTCTATTTTACTATTTTATAATTCACCAAAAGTTTTTTTTTTTCATGTTCCAAAGGTTGTAGTACATTTGTAGTTACAAGACTGACTTACTACAGGTGGAATTTTGCCAATATCTTCCCTACTGTACATACAGTACATAATTAATCTGCAAAAACCATTACTGTAATTGACCAAAAGGGTTTTTTTATGTTCCAAAGGCTGTAGTACATTTGTAGTTATGAGACTGACTTACTACAGGTGAGATTTTGCCAATTTCTTTCTTACTGTACATACAGTACATAATTAATCTGCAAAAACCATTACTGTAATTGACCAAAAGGGTTTTTTTATGTTCCAAAGGCTGTAGTACATTTGTAGTTATGAGACTGACTTACTACAGGTGAGATTTTGCCAATTTCTTTCTTACTGTACATACAGTACATAATTAATCTGCAAAAACCATTACTGTAATTGACCAAAAGGGTTTTTTTATGTTCCAAAGGCTGTAGTACATTTGTAGTTATGAGACTGACTTACTACAGGTGA